TTGCAACCTTTGGTAATAACTACCTTTATGATTGCAACCCTTGGTGATTAACCATTGCAACTCTTTAACTAACCATTGCAACTCTTCATTAACCATTGCAACCATTAGTATTAACCATTGCATCTCTTGGATTAACCATTGCAACCATTGGTTGCAACCTTTCATTCTCTATATAAAGGGATGTAGGCATTGGCAAATGGGATAGAGAAAAAATCAGAAACAAATAGTTAGTAAGAGAGTAAGAGAGAAATAGATTCATTGTTTAAAGATCATCAAAGATCTTTGAAGAACACATATAAACACTAAAACTTCTTTTTGTTTCTCTTGTATCTTAACATAGAACAAGAGTGAGACTTTGATTGTCTTATCCTACAAAGGGATTTCGTGTAACCCAAAGGTTTGGAATAGGGTCGAAATACTCTTTAAGGAAAGTGACCTCGTGCGCGATTCAATCATTATCCAAGTATATAATTCACAAATTTCTGGGTTACAACCCACTTAACCAACAAATTTTTCATTCCAAAAGCTAAGAATAATTACAAACTGATATCAGATTTTTAAAACGAGGTACATTTTGGTGAAATTGTTTTGTAGGAGGGTAGTCTTGTCGGGGTATAAAGATTGACTGCCACATAATAGTATTCGCTTCACGAAATTGACTCTGTTTTGTTCCGTTACAAGATCAAGAAGTTGTATTGGGTGAGATTCGTTACCGCCGCCTCTATAATTGGAGCTATAGTATAGTGTATAGAAGGGCGAAGCTTCTATTTTCACTATTATTGCTGGTCGAAAAGTATTTTCAACACTTGCTATGACTTGTCCCTTTATATATCTCATCATAAAGGGTCCACACATGTACTCTCCATGCATGTACTCTCCATGCATTATACACATACGACTTAGTAATTTTTCAGTCATACAAATATCGCAGTGAACAAAAACACAATGTAAAAAGTATGTCTAATACCAATCTTCCATAGCTAATGGGTCATCCACATCCGTTCATTTGACTTGTGTCTCTTATATAGTATGATGGGTGATGTTTAATTCTTCTAAAGTTTTGAAAAATTTGTTTAGTGACCATGTATTCACCATACGATTTTTCATGTGTTTTAACCTCACTAGCACGATATCGCACATTCATTCCCAATATGTTATTCATCCATCCAGTACTGCAGTTCTATCATCCTTAATTACATAGTTTTTTTTTGAATATGTATCCAAAAATGTAAGTGCACTTTAGTTACATAAGTAACCAAATCTATTTTTTTGAATCTTTTATATACCACAAACTCATTATCAGTAATTCAATTGTGTATTAATAATTCCTTATTTTTTTGTTTAAAAACAACCAAATTAGTAACGAGTTCAAACTTAGACCATTATAAATCAGTGGGAACTACGTATAAAACTAGGATTTGGATTCCTAGGATTATAGTGGAAATTCTTGGTCAATTGGTTTGACCGAAGTTCATTAATACTCTTACATAGTGAGGTCTGAGTTTGGAGTTATAGAAAAAAAAGAATAATGCAAATTAATTTTAAAAACATGTATATAAGATCTTCAACCAGATATATATATGTTATGAAAAAAAACAAAGAAACTTAAGAGTAAAAATTATTTGAGGCAAATATCATTAGAATTTATATACTGGTTTTGTGAATGAATAAATTACAATCCCTTAAACTTGTATTTATATCAGTTTCATTTAACAATGATTTAAGACACTTCTAAAATTAAGAAAGTAGTTTCATCATGAGTGGATCTTTATAGTTTGATTTAAAGTGATATATTCAATATCAACATCAATAAATAAATATAATTGTCGGTTGTAAAATTTTATATAGTATATTTTAAGGGTTTTGATGACATAATGAATCAGCTTTGTTAAAAAGACTAGTAGTATAAAATTGCTGGTTATAAGATTCTTTATATAATATTTTTATATGGTTTGTGATAAAATCAGCGTAAAAGAGAATATTAATATGAAGCCTTTAATAAAAAGAATATTAATATGATCAATACTACGTTAATTTGGAGTTATAGTGATGAGGGTTGTTTAAGATTATATCATAATCATAGTAGTTGCCAGATAATTAGAATAGTAGAACTTTCTTAAATTTGAAAAAGAAAGTTCTGACTTTCAATATAGATGACAATACCCCATATAATCAGAAGAGACGACTGATTAGACTGATGCGGGGTCGCTCGGCTGCAACTTGAAACTTGATAAATTGACAGTAGATGAGAAGGTTCGATTTTAAAGCGTACAAAAGATCATTGGACCACTCAGTGACAACTCTAGGTTATTAGAGAGTCTCAGCTGGTCTATAGCTTAAGCGATCAATTTGTTATAATAGCTTCTGTTTATCTTCATTTGATCTAGCAGTTTGCAACATTTATCCGATACATTATTCAGAAATGCTCAATGTTTATGTAACTCGTATATATGTGTGCTAAGGTATCGTAGAAGGAACTTGATTAACTGTCTAAAAGTTTTTTTTTTTTTTGGTAATAAATGAGGTTTTATTGTGCCAATTCTTAAGGTGTGTGTATCAACACGACCAGGTCATAAAACTGTTGATCTCTTTTTTTTTTTTTGTAACATATTTTAACTGTTGATCTTTCTTCACTTCCCATTTGGTTTTTAAGCATCTGTAACTCTGTAAGATTAATCCAAATAAACTGTGTAGTTGGAAATAATACTGGTGGTTCCTTTTTATCAGCATAATGTGTATACACCACCGTACCGTCCGAATACTTTTGACAATAATATATTATTTTGGAAAATAATTTCCACAAATTCACCTTCAAAGGTTTCCAACAAAATATCATGAATTTTGGTTTCTTAATACAAAGTATACAGCTATGATTTGAGTTAAAAATTGTCTCTTTTTAAACAATTTATGGTACTTATTTGGCATGGAGGCAAAGCTTTTAATTTTTTAAGAGGGTATATTCGAATTGAATCATTCCAAGATTAGTCTGCATTTTGAGAACTGGGTATGTGATACTCATAAAATTAGAAAAAGGCTTAGATAATTTGTTGGTCAATTTCTTAAGAAGGATAGTTTTTTAGAACATAGTTAAGAATAGTTTAAGGATATACCAGACTAATAAATTGTTACGTAAAGATTTAGATTTGAAAGTAAAATCAGTTGATTGGGATGCATGAGCCTGTAGTGGTGGACCATTGAAATATTATTGGCTTATATCGCAACTTGAGAGTACAATAATAACATGTAGCAAGAGCCAAGAGAGACGGGTGCATGAACACTCCCTCTTAATTTTCTTTGTTTTTGTAATATTTGTAGTTTTTCCTTTTGTCCGGGCCTGCTAGCGTCGAAGGCTAACTTATTTTTTCCTCACGACCAAGAAAACTCAGACATGCAATGCTATCAGCATTTACTGTCCCTACTAATTAAATAACTATAATGAAAAGAGGGTAAATTATTTGATTTGGGAATTATTAAATTCAGCAAATATACTACTAGTTGGTTTTAATCATCTACAATAATTGTTCAACTTGCTGAAGGAAAATGATTTTATATTAAAAAATAATAATTGTCGCGTTTCGAAGC